ACAATTAAAATGATTTAAAACCCATTTATTTTAGCACGAAATGACCCCAACAAATTCAATTAATTTGTTATTGTAGTTAAAAAAATTATTTTGGTCATTTTGTAAACGAAGTGGAAGAAGTGTACAACACCCCTCTCTTTATCTTAAACCATAAACCATTGCGTTTTAATCGAAGGTTTGTCGCTATTTCTGCTTCGCCGTCGTTGTAATTGAAGTTAAACCGCTTGAAATTTAACGGCCATACCTTATTAATTATAAAATCTTTATAACAAATTCTCTTTTCCTTGTATTCTAATTTTGTATAGCTTATATTTATCAAGTATATAAGATAACATAAAATTTTGATTTTTTTTCTTCTAATAGAGATAATAACTAAATATATATTTTAAATAGGAAATAAATAAAAATAATGACATCTAAAACAAAATTCTATCCAAGCAACTATCAATAAAACATGTCACATATCTAAGTGTGCGTACTGTCACGGACTTGTCCTCTTAACAACGAATTGTGCCTCTTAAATGCTTGGATATGTTGAATTATTGTTGGATGACTATTTGATCTAACAGCTAGGAGTTGTTCACTAGACCACTCCAAAATATTCCTACAAAATATCTACAAGGGAGGGTTCTAGAAAGTTTTCAAGAATCCTCCAAGGATCTCTACCCATCTCTATACGTTTGGGTCAACTTGGATCTAACCTTATTTGGGCTAAGTCTCGGGCTTCTTAACCTCCCAACCCAAGGGAAACTGGCAAAGGGTTTGGCCACACTGGCGGGCCGTGACAGTACGTTAATCTGCAGGTCGGGGAAGGGTTATTTCTGTTGGGAATCGGACACGTGTACGCAACGGAAAACAAAAATTTTATGTGAATTAAACGAATTTAAAACACAGAAACACGTGCTCGATAATTAAAAACAATTAATTGCGGTACATTTGCGTTTCCAGCGAAATTAATAACAACATACATGCTTAATTACTTAACCGAAATTAAATCAATTAACATGCTCGCGTTTATATCAAATAATCATGCTCGCAATAATAAAAACAGTTTCATGTAGACACGTAAAATCATACATGATTTTTATTGAAACGAACATGCATATATTAACTTAAACGACAACGAATCGAATGACAATGGATTCGAAACTTTACCTCTTGAAGTGTGAGGTAGGCGCACTAAGCAAAGCTGGATTGCCACGTAAACCAATCCATGTAATCTGGGGCAGCAACGGCGATGCAGCAGCAGCGATGAACCGAGCTACGGCGGCGCGTGTGGTTCACGCGCTGTCTTCGGGCGGCGTGTGGAGTTGCGTGCGGCGTCGGCTCGTGTGTTGCTCCTCGGTGCTGCTCCTCGATTCTTCGATCTTCGATCTTCTTCCTCTTGGATTTTACCTCGTATACTTTGATCTACTAGAACGTGGCACTAGACACGTTATAGTTAGAAAAACGGAAGAATAGAAAAGAGGAAAGAAATACCAATAGGATCGGCCAACGGATGGCTGATTCCGGCGAGATGGTGGCGACGGCGGCGATGGTGACCGCGGGTTGAGATCGACCGAGAGAGGTGAGAGCGGCTAGGGTTTAGTTCGTGTGTTATCTTTGTGTAAGACCTATAAATCAAGTATTTATAGTGTCTTGCAAAAAACCCTAACGGGCTTAAGTTGGACCGGGCCCAACAACTTAAGTTCGTTAGTTCTTTTATTTGCTCGCCTCTCTCAATTCGATGATCGGAAAATTGTAACAATTATATTTTCGGAATCATTATAATGTCCTTGTCATTACGAGTGCTAACTCTCGATTTCCAACTTTTCAAAAGTGGAAACCCTAATTCAGTGCACTTTCTAAACTTGAAAACTTCCCGATTTAGAAAGTTCACTAAGATGTTTGCCTATTCTTTTCCTTTTCTTATTCTCATTCATAATTCCAAATTACGAATGTTGGACCCAATCATATTGACTTCCAATCATGCAAAGATAAACCATTTTATCTCTGACCGTTTATTCAAAGATCTCATCTGCACGAGCAGTGTGACCCTCGTGGGCCCACAACCCTTTGTGGTCAAAACTCGTCCCTTAGAGTTACGATTAAGATGAAACTCGTTTCACTTTAATCACCCAACGAATCAAGATTGGCGTCACGCAACTACGCGTCATGATTCCCTAGATACAAATAAAGAGCCTGCAAGAACCTTCAGATATAGTTAGCGTACAGTACGATCCCTTCGATTCATATGTCCCGATTGAATTAGAGGCATTGGTTCATCGAGACCTCTTTATTTGTTCAATGACGGTGCGATCGTTCTAAGTGTTGTAATCGTTATGTGCATGACTTAGAGAATCGAATTCTCTAATCATCACTTAGTCAGCTCTAGCCAGAGACTTAGAGAGATTACAAACTATAAGAACACACAGGACAACCAAGACTATTCTAGCGATCGAATCCCCGACTACAATGCATAGACCTCTCACTAGATTTCAGACTGCACGAACACTGGCCCTTGGGGTGGTCCTCGGTGGAACTCAGAGACAAGTCACGATACAGCTGGTCCTCTAGTGAAGTCACAGTGATGTCTAGGTCATAAGAACTAATGGTGTACAACTATACCACATATATCTCTACTCAATTATTGGGAACCACTTAGAGATTTTTAGGGTGAGAGAGTTCAGTGAACTCGTCAACTTACGAGCACCCACTTATGCATGCCGATATCACAATACCGTTTACTGATGAGATGCAGTACACATACACTAAGTGCTAGTCTCTTAATGGGAAAGGCCGATATCTTCATTGGTGGCGTAACCCTTCGACTAGAAACACGTTTAACAGTTATAATACTTAAGTAAATATCTCACGATCCTAACGACCAATTACTAGTACTTGTAATAACTGTAAGGACTATATCTATGCTTGTGACAAAGGGACAAAGATATAGAATGCCAAGGTGTTTTATCATTAATACGAATAAAAGTTCGTTTATTACCATAATAAATACGAAAGACCACAGTCACATGTTGGCTTGTTGGTCACCTACTCTAACAATTTCTATGCTACACCTGGGGCACAAAAATATACAGTAACATATACGCAGACGCACAAAATCACACATCAACACATTCACAGATTTCCAGAGTTTCAGACAACACTGGGCGCATGCAAAAACCCACCTTTGCTTTTGGATGAGGAGCAAAGGTATTGACAGTCGCACACACCAATTCCATTGACAATTCACGGTCCTTTGAACCGGAAGAATCTCCATTTGAAGGTAGCTTCACTTTGCTGAGTTTATAAAAGTGATATTCGAAAATAATTTTAATCGAAAATGAGAGAGAGGGAGGGAAACCAGAACTTCTAATCTAAATATAACTCTATTATAGTCTGATTGACACTTTGCACCCTCAAATTACATGTGATTGGCACTTTGCATCCTTAAATTAAAAGGATAGTATAGTACAAAGAAGACCAATTCCCTAGGTTGTGGGAAATTACGAGGAGTCTCTTGCTATTTTTTTATTTTAAGGTTGAAGAGTGCCAATTACCACTCTATATAATTATAATAATAACAATCCTAAGGTCCCTTTTGGTTGCCAAGATAAAATTAGTCGAGATAAGATTAAATAGTCTAAACCGCAGACGACGGCTTTGTTTGTTCTGTTATGCGTTATTCTTCGAATGGGTGTTCTTGATAGAGAAAACACCAAGCCCGCCATTAATCCAATCAGTGTTGTTAGAACCAGATCGAACCGGCCGGTCAGACCGATTCGACCGTGACCCGGCAATAAAGCGGTCCGGTCTAATATCTAAAACCGAAAAAATCGAAAACCGGGGTCAAATGACTAAAATCTGGTTTGACCGGGTAAAACTCGAGAACCAACGAGTCAGTCAAGGAACCCAGTTTTCTGTCAAAACGTCTCGAATCACCGTTAAGTTGGTTATTTGTGGCTAGATTTGAGTGAATCTTCACATACTTAGTAGTGGATGGCCGGATCTAGTCATGAGTGGTCGAATGATTGTCGGATATGATCATGGGTGATCGAATAGGGTTAGCCAATTACTGGATTTGAATAATAAAAAATGGAAAAATATAGAGTATAAGCAATAAAATATAATAAAAAGTGAAGTAAATTAGATAAAAGTGAAAATAATAACTCGGAGATTAAAAATATAAAGAAAATAATATTTTTAAAACATTAAAATTAATAAAATAATGGCATATTAAAAAAAAAAATTAAAAATCCGGTTAAACTGGTTCGACCCTATAAACCCATGATACAAATGGTCGTCCGGTTCTATAGCCGGTCCGATTATGAAAACATTGAATCCTATCATAAAATCCATAAAATCCATTTATTTAGACTTGAGAAAGAAAACTCATTAGCACAACTAAGAAATTAACGTAGGGTTTATGAATTTATATATCTTTATCTTATATATATTAGCATTTTTCCCCGTGCGATGCACGAAATATTATTTAAATAGTGAAAAAAAAATATCAATTAAATACATACACTAATATAGTGAAATTTAATAATTTAGCATTATTCGTATTGAATTTACACCTTTATCTCTTAAGATTTGAGATATATTGATGAAAATTAGGAGATCAATAATTGTTAGAAATTATAGTTAAAAAGTTAGTTCAAAAAATATTAAAAATAAATAATTACATAAGTAGCAATAAGGTAGGATTCTTCATGAGTTAGTTTTAATTTTGATAATTGTTAAAAATAAATTATAGTTAGAAATTAATAGAGAAAAAATATTAAAAATAAGTAATCACTTATATATAAGATTACAAGATAAGATAAGATATATATGAAAGAGTAACCTATATAGACCTATATTTAAGGGCATTTTTGTCAATTTTTATTTGGACAGTTTTTTTTTCTATTCGAAATTCAGGTAAATAGCTATTCAGATTTTTTTAGCCAATTTTTAAAGTTATTTAAATAGATTACAAATTTACATTGATAGACCACAAACTAGGAATAATTAAACCAAAGAACAAATTATTCTGTTTATTAGAATTATAATTCGTATGTAACATATACAAATATCAAGAACACACACGCAAAAAAAAACAAAAAAAAAATCCACCAATCACCATCACAGCATGCTATCAGTTCTAGCAGTCAATCTCCTGAAGAAGTTACTTGGAACAGAAGGCAACTTGCTCCTAAACCTCGGATGCCTCAAATAGTACAACCCTCCAACAAGCACCACCACCCTCGCCGGAGACACATACATCACCACCGCCGCACAAAGGCAGAACACAACAAATAGACACGTGGCCCTAGGGTCCCTCCACGTCAGCAAGGACTGCAGCCTCTCTCCCTGAGTCGCCACGTCGCCGGCCACCGTCTGAATCCTCCCGGCCACACTCCTAAGCCGGTCGTACCTCATCCTCACGACATCGTTCTCCCTCGACGTCGGGAACGTGTCGAACTCCTCGTCCAGCTCGTCGGGGTTCACCGCCTCGGCCCACGACAGCTTCGCGTCCATGTGCGGCGGGCCCCGCGGCCGGAGCCGATAGTTCCACAGCCCTATAAGGAAGCCGTATAGAAAGATCGTCGGGAGTATCAACTCCGGGTAGCAAATGAGTATCAAGAACAATACGTGGACTAAAACCGAGGTCGTAGGGTTTTTCCAATGGCATACGTCGTTAAACCACCGGTTCGTCGAGATTATACCGGATAAGAGCGACATTATCCGGAAGAAATTCGCCTTGCTCCGTCTCATGCTCCAGACGTGCGAATCGACGTCGAGCATGTACTCAACGACCTCCTTTCTGAGGGGCGGCTCGGCTCTGCCGAGCCGAGCCGCCACAATGGTCATGGCTTGGTATCTGAGGTTTTCGACCTGGTTCACGGTGAAAGGGTGTATGTAGTGCATTTTCGGGAGGAGAGGGTGTCCGTAGATGTGTATCGTGTGAGCGAGCGAGAGCGTCGTGAATCGGACGGCCAGTTGGATTTCTCCCGTTTTCTTCACACCCGAAGGGTGCAGGACGAGAAGCGGATATGAGTGTGTGTAGACACGGTGGGCATCGAGGGCCGATAACCTAATGCGAACCTTCCCGATTCTCGAGTCTCGTTGTTGACTGGCGTCGGGCTTGTTTCCGCTTCCTAGATGGCAATTGTCGAAGACTCCGAGCGTCAAGACGGTGCACGGATCGTAGACTTCCCACGTGTATTGCTCGTTCCACTTAGGGCTAAAGCTGTCGATGATCGTCCTCGTACGAGTCCATTTCTGTCCGTATTTCGCCACGCAGTAAGCGTCTGTGCTCCCTCGGCCGTCCTTCATCTTCATCGGTAGGAGTCCTTGTGCGCTTAGTATTCCAACTTCAAGAATTCCGACCGGAGGCTTCCATAGCTGCTTCGCCGTGGGCCGTTGATCGCTTATGTAGAGTGTCGACTCGTCTAGGACATGATATCCACCTTCAAGGCACGCTCTAAGATGTACCCTGCTCGAGAACTTGAGGTCCTTTCTCCTGTCGCCTTCGAGCGCTCCGAATCCGAACTTTTCGAGATCGAACCAACGGGAATTCACCGGCCGGTGGTCGAGCCGCTTGTCGAAAACGGTGAGGGGTAGGCTTATTCTTCCCAATACATCGTCTTTCGACGAATGGACTCGATCCTCGACGGTTAAGACAAGGTGCTCTTCGAACGGCTCCGCCGCAACAAAGACTAAATCCTCGTTCCACATCGGATTAGCCGTCCTATCGGGACATATCCCGGTTCTTAGGATTTGATTCCCGACTTGGACTTTCACGAAAACTTCCGGCAAACGGCTTCGATCATTCGGAACGATGTCTTGAGCTTCGATAACGTTCACCCTCAAGTACCATAGTTTCGGCGAAACGTACACCTTCGACCGAACGTTCAAAACTCCCTCTCCGTACACGAACGCCGCATCGGCATGCCAAGCGTCCGTAAATGCCTCGTCAGCTTGCGTACCCATCCAAACGGCAACCATGATTTCACCCCTCGTCTTCCCTTCTCCGCGCCGGTCCTCCAGCCGGTACCACTGAGGGGCCAACGGGCTATCGGGCGGGACCCGCGTCGGGATCTCGTTTAGGTCGAACACGACCCTACCGAGATGATTGTCGTCCCGCCCCACCATCTCCTTGTCCTTGACGAAAACTTCGAGGGAGGACGATTGGATCCGCTCTTTCGAGAAGGCGAACACTTGGTTCCACTCCGGGTTCGTTTTCCGCTCAAAGTGCTTCGTTCTTCCCTTGTAGTTACCGAGCTTCACCTCCACGTAAGGATCACAGCTGGCTGTGATGGCGGTAGGCGGAAGATCTTTCGCCTTCACCACTCGAACGTAGAGATAGTACATTTGCTCGACGAGGTCTAATGTGTTGGCCATTCTTTCGCCGCCGCTTAGCCACCCTCTCCCGCCGTACGCCGCCGCCGCCTCGCCGAGGTTGAGATTCGTTTCTTTCACCTCAAAGTCTTCTTGATATTCATGGCTAGAAGTATTATGAGCTTGTTGTGAGTTGACTTTACGATGATGCTGCATTGTTCGAGGTGATGATCGAAAATCGAAAAAGATGAGTTTGTGGTTCGAAACGGGATTGAGGGTATTTTCGGGATTGTTTCTTTCGGTTTCGAATGAGGTGATTATCGAAATGGACAACCTCTAGATATGGAGTGGCAGATCCTGCACCATCCTTTGGGCATAAGATCATGTGCATATATGACTTGTACCACAAGTTTCATGTTCTTATTATTTATTTATTTTTCTATCATTTTTTTTCCTGTTAACTTGCTTCCTTTGTGAAGCAATTCCCTCAAGATACCTCTGTCTCCATTGAGAAGCAAAGAATCTCTCTCTCTCTCTCTCTCTCTCTCTCTCTCTCTCTCTCTCTCTCTCTCTCTCAGGGAGGGAAGGTATAAAACTTTTGAGGTGAAGTTGAAAAAAAGATTAATCCATGTGAAAGAACATTTGGAATTGGAAACTGATTCTTTGATTAATTTTACTAATGAAATTATATTCACTTAATTAATTAAAAAAAAAAACTGTACTTTCTTGAGGAACATTCTATACTTCATTATGCAGCAATTCCTATGTGGGAAAAAACTATAAGGGCATTAAGGTAATTAACGTGGAGATGATCATGCAAATTTGGAATAGAAGAAAAAAGTGATTTTGAACTTTTTATAAGCTTGTGAAGTTGCTCAAGTATGCCTTTCTTGTGCTTTACTAGTAATACACCCGTGCGATGCACGGGGTATTCATCGTAAAACAAATATTGAATAATAAAAAAGGTTCTCAAAATAGTGATATTAATTGTTAATAAGTAAAAGAAAGAAGTAGAACATATTCAAAAATAAAAATAATTTGTATGGTGTAAGTTCAAAATAAGCCGAAATAAGTGAAAAAAAAACTAAAATTCGAATGTTTTAATTTCCTCATACAAAAGAACGAATATATAGTTGGTCCCAAACTTGTACAACCATAATGACATGAACGTTGAAAACTTGAATTGTTTGCCACCAACCGCCCTAAACGAATGCAACAAATCCAATACAATGCAACTGACCTGCATATGTTGTAAAATGGTCACACGAAATATGTAAGTTGTTACCAAAACAATACCAATATAACTTTTTAATTGCATAAAATTATTGTAAAAAGATTACCTTCATCAAATATAGCGATCGGGGTCCATAGCAAGTTCCTAGTACAATTAAAATAAACCTACGAATGAGGAATAACCAAACATAAAAATAATAGATAATAAAGGTCGTCAATAAATATTGTAATTTTTTGTATAAATAATTACCTTCATATACGCTGAAAAACTTCCTTGTATGCAACATTATTTTTAACATTGGTCGTATCACCAGATTCCGAGTTAATCAAAATCTTTATGCCACTTCGACTCTTAACCCTCGAGAGTGTGACATAGAGCTGTCCGTGACTGAAAACAGGTCTCGGCAAGTACAGGCCCACGTGAGAAAGAGTTTGTCCTTGACTTTTATTGATTGTCATTGCGAATGATACCATCAGTGGAAACTGACGTCGCTGGAATTTAATAGGCAATGCAGAGTTGGACGGTACCAAAGTCATTCTAGGAATGAACATCATATCACCAACATGTTTACCCGACAGGATCTTGCAGTTGAGAACGTGTTTTCCCATATGTTTACCCGACAGGATCTTGCAGTTGAGAACGTGTTTTCCCATATTAATAATCTGAAGCCTTGTTCCATTGCACAATCCTCTTTTCAATGTCAACTTATGCGGTGGAATTCCGGAACATGATATGGTGTTGAGAAACTCCGGTGAGTATATTTCTGCGTTGACATCCGACAACAACTCCTCCTTGCACATACTATCTGAGCTGAAATGGCCTTCTCCTCTCCAGTTATGATCGACAAAAAATGATCGTTCACAAAACCGACACTTTCATTAGTGGGTGCAAGGATTGCTCTGCCTTCGAAATACTCGGGAGTGAAAAGGTTGGTCACCAGATCGGGATAGACAAACTCTATAAGATCCAAAAAGGGATCTGCAGAATTCCGAATCAGCATGTCATCGGGAATTTCAATTGTGGCATCACCGTCATTTATCTCGCCAGCTTCGCCATTGCCGATTCTCAATATCCAGTCCGCAAATTCTCTTATTTCATCTGCATTGGCGGAAGAGGAGGACGATTCAAGTCTCATGTTCTTGTTTAACTTCATAACCTTGCATTGCCTCCACAACGGTGATGAATTGATTGTAGCATGCACAATGTCTTGTCTCGACGCTTTCAACACAACTGGCAAAATTTGCCGAAAGTCCACTCCAAGCACTACAACCTTGCCTCCGAATGGCATATCTGAATCAAGTATAGATTTCATTGTTTTGTCGAGTGCTTCGAAACAGTACATGTGCATCATCGGTGCCTCGTCCCATATGATTAGCTTTGCTCTAGACAACAATTCTGTCTGTGGGCTCTGTTGTTTGATGCTACATGTGGAACTCTCATGTACAATTATTGGCAGTCCAAATCTAGAATGAGCAGTTCTGCCACCTGGAAGTAGAAGCGAAGCAATACCACTGGAAGCAACATTTATAACTATTTCTCCTTTTGAACGGATAGCAGCCGATAGCGTTTTCCATATGAAAGTCTTTCCCGTTCCTCCATGCCCATAAAGAAAGAACAGTCCACCTCTGTCATTTGCAACAACATCCATGATATCATCGAACACTTTTTTCTGCTCATCAGTAATGGATGAAAGGTATTTCTTAAGTTCTTCACGCATATCATCAACGTCATAGTCCAACTCGTCGAGAACTAATCTATTTACCGTGTCGTCCGTCATCGACCCAATTGGAATCGGCATTCGGGGAAAGTTACTCAGGCTTTTACTGTTGCTTTGCAATATAGTTTCTATTTCGATCAAAGCGTAGTTTCTCAGAGTATCGTCTGACACATGTGGACCTTCAATATATTATTATATGAAAAATTAACATAATGTGACGATTATAAAAATATATAGTTTTAATTCAAACGTGTGTAATAAACGGTGTAAAAACGTAATATGTATTCTCATACCTGAATTGGTACGATGTTGTGCAGTCTGTACGCAATATCCTCGGCGAATTCTTTCCAGCAACACTCCCACACATGTTCCGGTCTGCTCATATTATTTGCGACCAAAAGTACGACGAATAATCGTCTCACATAGTCACTACTGGCCCACTCGTTTGCCTCATTTATGCCAGCTATGTACTCCTTGTCGTCATCTAGTAGCCCAAGCGCAAAACACGCATCTTTGAAAGTTGGGTAGACGTGATCCTCGACTTTTCTAAGATCATCGTAACACGTGCAACCTCTTTGAAAGTTCAACAACAGTCTCAAGTAATAGTCTTCACCCCTGCCCGGCGGTACATTGGTAACCCTTCCGATCGAGAATCATATCTTTCTCGGCATCCAACAGCGAGCTTTTTCCTTATAGACAAATTTCTGTGGAAACTCTACATACCTCAAATTTCTAGCTTCAGGGTACAACTTATTCGCTTAGAACCAAGCAAGGAACATCGTTTGCTTTGCAGTCGGTCTGTTCAGCAGATCAACTAATGAGTCATTATCTATAAACACAACTGACTGACTGTCCGGAAGATGAAAGCTAACCTAATCACTGGTGCTACTCTAAAGTGAATCTC